GGAAGGCAGAGATGTGGGAAGAAGTGTTTGTAGTAGTTTGTAGCAAAGCTGGCTGAGGAATTCTGGGAGTTGAAGTCCACAAGTCTTAAAGTTGCCAAGGTTGGACACCCCTGCTTTAGAACCTGAGGTACATAGGTCACCTTCAAAACAGGGAGCAGAATAATAGAGATTCTCCACTCAATCTCCTAGAAACCTTTATTATTATTATTATTATTATTATTTAGGTTTTCTTTTTCTAGGATTGAAAATCTCTGCCCAATGATAACTTCAAGGTAAAAATGCTATAAGTGCTTCTTGACTTTCATACCAACCAGACACCACTTATGCTCTTCTTTAAAACACTGTCTTTCAGTTTCTCAGTGAGAAGCCCTTTAACAACTGCATTCTAAAGCCAGATGCATCATTTCAAGACCCCTAGTGCCATCCCTTCCTTCCCTCTGAAGGACAAGGAAGAAGGTTGAGGAGGAAGAAGGTTGAGAAGAAGGAAAAGAGTGAATAGCGTTGGGACACTTCACCAAGTCTCTTCTTATGTTCAGTGATGTCAGAGGAGAAAAGCTGACTTGCTTTGTCTGTTCCCAAGTCTGTCCTGGGTCAAACTAACAGTACACACAACACAGTAAGGTGGGCAAGAAGAGCAGTAGAGGAACAAAATAGAATATTTTGTGCTCTGACATCACGACCATCCTATTGAGTTTTATATATTTTGTGTTTAGGTTTTATAAGGCAACCTGTTAATGCAAGAAGCAAATGGATGGAATAAAGGTTTTGAAATGGCAGCTGTCCTTTTTTCGCAGAATCAGAGAAAAATAGCTGATGTATCTTCAGCTAAAATCAAATTTATCTTGGCCTTCCGGTTTGCTAGCTTTCGGCGGAGGCAGGGATTTGCCACTGTGCGATCCCTGCTGCGTTCACTGCCAAGGTTTCCCCGATCCATTTGGATCTGGGGGATACAGCTGCCCTGTAGAGGCAGCGGAAGATAGGGGGGATCCGGCAAGGGGTTTGGGGGTACCGCAAACCCCCTCCCCAGCTGGCTAAACTCCCTTTTCCCGAGGCGGAGGAACGGCGGTCAGCAATGGCCGCCACGAAGAAAGCTGCAGCCGGGTAAGCAAGAGCAGGAGGGAGAGAGCTGAAAGAGAAGTGAAAGTTGCTTCTGGCTGGGACAAGACGGGAGAAAGTTATTTGGAACCTTGAAAGCTGTTAAGTATCTATTGTTCCTTGCGAGAGTTACAAGCTGCGAATACCCTAAAGGGAAAAGTTTTTTTTTTCTTTGTTCGACTCTCCTTCCTAAAGTGACACCGGAAAAAAAAATCTTTTTGGCTGTGAGTGGGAAGGGAGAGTGAAAAAAATCTGAGCAAAATTTGAAAATAAGGAGAAGATTGCCTAGAATTGCAAAGAGTTTAAAAACTTCCAAAAAATATATTTGAAAAGGATTTGTGATTACTTTAACCCCAGAAAGAGAAAGTCAAGAAGAAGAAGGTATCTAAAAGAAACAGTCTGTTTGGATTGTTTGGTGATTTTGGAACCTTTGGAAATTATTTCTGATTAAATCATCTGGGTGGTTGTTTGGAAAAACTTTTTCTCTACACAATGGCATCATCTATGGATGAATTGGAACTTATATATCAAAAATTTGAAAGAGAAAAACAAGGAGGTGAAGATGGACTTGGCACTATTTTCCAATACTTAGAAATGGCGATTTATATTTATGTGAAGCAGAATGAGGATGATGGGGATAAAGAAGAAGGAGAAGCCATCTTTGATGAGAAAAGGACTTTGATTGGAGAAGGGAAAAAGCGGAGGTCTTTAAGATCTGGAAAAACAGCCCAAAAAGAGAAGAATAAGGTGGAAAAGGGACATTATGTTAAGAAACAACAGAAAGGGGGAAAGCAGAATAAAAGGGAGGTGGGGAGACAAGGGGTTAAAGAGGACAAGGAGAAGAAGAAGCAAGGGAGAAAGGATGGTGGGGAGCAAGATATTAAGAAGCAAAAGTTTTTCAGAGATAATGGATAAGTCTTATTGTTAATGGGATTCTAGAAGGTACATAAGATTGCATTTTTATATCTGTATTTAGAAGTAATTATAGAAAATTAGAAATAATATGTAGTTTAAAAGGTGATAAAATATTTAACATAAACAAGTGAAATTTTTGTTAAGAAAAAGGGAGTATTGTAATGAAATATGATCCAAGATTATGATGTGGGGGGGGGGGGGGTAATAATCGTGGAAAGCATAAGTGTTCCCACAAAGGCATGACATTCAATTGAAATGGATAAAATGTTTAAGATATAAATGATTGTTAATATTAATAATTAGAAGATGGTATATTAGCAAACCTTTTGTGAAATGAGATTTGAAGTAGAAGAAGGAGGAACATTTCAATGAAATATTGAGCTATAATATGTGATGTGGGGGGGGAATAATTTTGAAAAATAGGGCTCTCATAAAAGCATGTGATTTAATTGAAAAGTAATGAGTTAAATATCTAAGATATGAATGAATATAAATATTAATGAATAGATTTGTATTATTTTTGATAATATAGTATAATTTTAGAATGTACCAGACAGAATCCCAATGTAGGTTATGTATTTTATATTAAGTACTATAAATATAGAGGAAAAAGACAAAGGCATCATACTCCATATAGTGTATAAGAGAAGTACTTCTTCTTTTTTTTTAAAGAAGAAAAATAAAAGATTGGCTGGAATAGAACAGACAAAGAATAATAAATATTACGATATGAATTGAGAGGAGATAAAAAAATAAAAATGAAATAAAATTGAGAAAATTTAAAGGAGAGGAGAAGTTATATAGAAAATTGAAAATGTTAAGAAGATATGAAATGGTATGTAAAATGAATATGAAATTGAACTTGTGTCTGTACCAAGAGTTTTAACCCGGGACTAAGCAACTTTCAGAAAAGAGATTTTTTATACTTTTATGTTTTGTGTTTATGTGTATTTATGTATTGTTTGTCTTGAAAAATAAAACTTGTTTAAAAAAAATAAAATCAAATTTATCTTTACATCTATACAAATCATGGAAATCAGCACACTCCAGATGCTATGGAAATATACAGCGACTCTCAGCACTTCTAGGTACCATAGCCAATAAGTCTAGGAATTGTGTAACACAGACATAATCTGGAGTGCCACAAACTGCCTACCACCTCCAAAGTATGGTTGGTTTCAAAAAGGAAACGAACCATAGAGAGCAAACTATAACTAACCTAGAATCTGCAAATATAGGTATGGTTTTAGCAGATCATCACATTGCACCAAATTGTATCTTTCTAAATGGAATTTAGGTCCAGAAGGAACAAATATGAAACTCCAGAGCAGGCAGAAGCAATGGGGTCTGGTAGCAAGCTACGCTGACATACCTGTTAGGAAAATGGTAAATTGTTGTGAAGAGTTCATTTTAATAATTTTTGTGCTGATTTTTAACAGCATAAGTTAGATAGGCAACTTTCCCAGCACTATGTACAGTTAAAGTCATTCTAAGTGCATAAAAATGCATTTGTTTGTTGCCAAGTAACTGACTGGATGCATAGAGATTGTGCCATCATTAGTGCTTTTAGATGCATCCATTATTGGGTATGTGTCCTGCCTCAAACATAGGCTGAGTAACTTCCTGTGTTTTCCCCATATTTTTGCTATGTTTTAACCATGAAAAGAAGTCTATTAAAAAGAAAGATATAAAGACATTTCTTTTCATTAGTATTCCTAAGAATTTTCTGTTTGGATGTGTCACAGAAAGACAGGAGACATTATTCTCTCATATCCTACTGTTTTAGAAGTTCAGTATTCTTCATGTGCAGCTACTTGCACAGTTACAAGTGGTGATATAGGAACCCATGCACATGGAATGAACTACCTAGCCTTATGATCAATTACTCATTTCAGTAATTATATGTGTCTGCTCACATATTTACCTTTAGTTTATGATTGCTAAAAGTTACAAGAGTGGGCAGCTATCAACAGTTGGGAGAATGTGAACCTAATGAAATTCATGATTCCACGTAGCTATAAAAAACTATGAAAATAGGAAGCCTATCATGGCTTGAAGCCAGAACCATCCATATGCTCTTATATGATATTTACTTACATCAGATCCTTCTATATTCATAGGCATGAATTTGAGCAATTCATATTGTATATTAGATTATGCAAACAAGCACATTCACTGTATATATTTGACTGCATATGCCTCTCATAGTTTGTTCACCTGCCCTTTAGAAATGATAATTATATAACTTGCCAAAGTCCATAAAAGAGTCTTTGCAAAGTGTAAGTTTTTAAAAGGTACATGTAACACCTCCTGCTCCCATCTGCCATCCTCACCCCACAAGTTCCACTGCCCTTTAAAACAGTCTCCCCTAAATATGTCTTACTCTTTCATTTGTTAGTCCCAAACCACCTGATCCTGTTAAAGTAGGGATAGACAAGCTTTTATCTCCTAAAAGCCTAATTATTTTAGAGATAATTTGGGAAAGGAGTAACATTGAAATAAACAGAGTCAAGCAGCTCATATATTTCTCTTCCAAGCAGCTAAGAGGTTTGACCTGATTATTTTTAAGCTGAGGTCTACTTGAAGCATGAAAGCTGATATGCTTTTGGTGTGTTCCACTCTGACTTGATTGCAACTTCCCTCACCCACATCTGAGTATTAATATAATCTACAAAGGGTTTTTTTTTATAAATTGTTTCTTCCATGACATGCACAAGTCTTCATTTTGATATGCTATCTATGATGACTGTCATGTATGTCCCTGTCTGCTGTGTGAATCCAAAAGGTTCAGCATAGAGTGAACTTCATATCTAGATGTTGCAGATATTAAAACAGGCTCTCAATTATTTATCTAGAACTCAGGAAGCCATTTTATAACCAATAAATTCATTTAACTCAGTAATATCTACATTGACCAGCAAAGACTTTCTAGGTTTTGGGACTGGTAATCTATCTCAGACCCATCTGGAGATACCAAAATTAAGCTGGATTTTATAGAAATACAGATATCCTACTATGCTAGGCTGTTCACACTTGATCCATAAAACTACATTATGCTTCAAGAAAAAAACATTAAGCTTCTTTGTCCCAAAGGTGGGTTTTTTTGCAAGAGGCAACTGAACTTTCTTGTTTTATTTGAAGACGATTCGCTTCTCATCCAAGAATGAGAATGGATGAGAAGCGAAACGTCTTCACAGAAAACAAGGAAGTCCTGTTGCCTCTTGAAAAAAGCACCTTTAAGACAATCATGACCTGGATGACTGAGATTCTCCATAGACATTAAGCTTCTTTGTAAGGTTAGATGTTAAAAACAAAATGAAATGGTAAAAGAAACAGTGACATGTTGCCTTTAAGACAAGAGTATATCTACTCTAAGCTGTTTCATTACTTTGTACCAAATACATTGCTAATTACTTTTGCCCTCTGTGTTTCATTTTGTGTTCTGGCTTGTTTAAGAATGCAATTTCAGATTTGTTTTTAATCAGAAAATGCTTTGTTAAGCAATCATTGATTTTCCCCATGCCTATGTACATAAAATGCAATGTTTTTACTCTATGATCCCATCTTCCAACCTTGCTATTTTTCCTCCCTCCACTTTGCTGGGTTTTACAATAGTGCCAGATATGTGTCTAAGAATAAAACACACTAAAGTACAATGCAAAATGACATTAAAAATAAAATGGAAATGGAAAAACAGATTTGATATTTGAATAAAAAATACATTTGGTATCTCATAATCAAAGATGTTATCTCCCAAGGATTCATGAAGACTAAAGAAAGAAGTAGACAAGAACTACTCAATTCCATTAGAAGTCATACAGCTTAAAGCCAGCCTTCTACAACCAGGTACTTCATGATGTGAAGGATAGCATACAATTTCCAGAATTCCCAAGCAGAAAGAAGTTGGAAATTATGAGGGTTATCTGAACTTCTGAAGGGCAAGCAAGATTAAATTTTGCTAACTTAACAGCTCAAGATGAAACAAAAGATTGTAAGTATAAGTGGTTTAGGAATGCCTTAGCCATGGATTGGTTCTTCTTCTTTTGAATAAGATATAGGTTATTATAGGTATTGTTCCCATGAGCAGAGCCATCACATGTGTTTGGGGGGGTTGTCATGTGGCCATCACAAACCAAGGCTTTTATTCCATAAGCTTAAATTATAATAATTTAAACTTTACAATGCAGTGAGGGAGAAGGCAACTGCTGCTTCTCCCACCCTTTTTTCCCTTAGTCCTCACCTTCTTGCTTGCCAGACCCAGTGCAAAAAGAAGTCAAACAAGGCCAAAAACAAAATGGGAGGAAAAGGTATAACTTTTAGGTTCACTATTGCTTGGGGTTTTAGAAATATAGCTTGGGTCTCTACCAATCAACTCTATTACAGACCAAGAAAGTGCAGAGAGGTCAACTTTCAAAAGTAGCTAGCATTGCCATTGTTTGTCAGTTATAGCCAACTGCAAAACTTGCCCCATATACTGTACATTATTTAATATTTCACAGATTTCCCTCCATTCACCAACACAGATCTTGGAATCTTTCATACCTTTCCGGATGCTACCATCAGAAGCACAAGAGAAATCTCCAGTGCTCAGGAGAAAACAGGTTGCTGCTTTCTTGTTTTTGTCCTTGGTACTTGAGCCCCTCATGAGCTGCTTCTCCTCTTGGGGTGAAGAAAGAGGTTGATCTTCATCTGACTGAACCACATTGGCATCTCCATTCTGCTTGGTGTCTTAGAAGGAGAAAGAAAGAAAGAAGAAAGAAAGAAAGAAAGAAAGAAAGAAAGAAAGAAAGAAAGAAAGAAAGAAAGAAAGAAAGAAAGAAAGAAAGAAAGAAAGGTCAACCTTTGGAGCCAGAATATGCCAAATCTGCACCTGCTTTGCCAACAAGAAAATGAATAATTTATTTAGATATAAAAGATTATATGACATAATCCAGGGGAGGCAGCATTTTCATTTTAAGTGACATTTCCAAAGTATATTGGAATCAATTTCTCATCTTCTTGACTGGAGTTTTGGATTCAGTCCTTTCAGCAATACAAGTTGGTGAATCCACCAATGTTGAGGGAGGAAAAGTGTCAAAACCAGAGGTGGTATTCAGCAGGTTCTGACCAGTTCTGGAGAATTGGTAGCGGAAATTTTGAGTAGTTCGGAGAACTGGAAAATACCACCTCTGACTGGCCCTGCCCCCGACTATTCTCTGCCTCCTGAGTCCCAGCTGATTGGCTGGGTCTTCTTTGCTGCACAGGAGAACAGAGCTGGAAAGCAGGTTAGTGGGGTAGGAAGAGAATGGGATTTTGCAATAACCTTCCTCCAGGAGTGGGGAGGGAATGAAAATTTTACAGTATCCTTCTCCTGCCATGCTCACCAAGCCAGTGGTCGCCAACCAGTGGACCGCGGCCACTGGTCGGCCGTGAGAAAATTTTGGTGGGCCACAGAGATATCTCACCCCCAGAGCACCCCTCCAAAGCAATTAATCCAGGCTGTGCAGAAATACAAGGCTGCGCCGCCCACATGGCCTGCGGGAACCCTCCCCAGCCATTCACTCCTTACCTGGCAAACTTGCCTGCTAAATTTCTATTTTTCCTTTTTCCGACCATCATCTGTTCTGCTGTGCTGGGAGATTTAAATTAGCTAGGAAGCAGAAAATGGTTGGATTTCTTGCTTTCAAGCTAGTATTTAGATCTTCGGCTCTGCTTTTAAGCACAGCCGAACCTCCCTTAGGACTGAAGGTTTGCTTGCAAGCGAATTCAGTGCAGACTCATAGCAAACAAATTTGAGAGACTGAGCTAGCCGATGGCAGATAGATAGATCACTGAATGATTCTGTAAGCAACTCAGTCTGCCTGCTTTGCCTGATTTTGGGTAAAAGTTGCTCTTTTTTAATAAAAAATTCAATATTTTTATTAATATTTATAATATTTACATACAAGCCATGCCCAGCCAGTCACACCCACAAATTAGGCCATGCCCACAGAACCAGTTAGTGGTCCCTAGGATCTAAAATTATGAGTTTGGTGGTCCTTGAGGTCCAAAAGGTTGGCAACCCCTGCACCAAGCCACGCCCACAGAACCAGTAGTAAAAAAAAATTTGAATCCCATCACTGGTTAAAACATCAGTCCTACATACTA